TGTCTCCACGGTCGATTGAAATTCTTGAATTCTGACATTCTCTATTATGTGATAGTGATCGGTTCTCCCTGTTAGTCTCGGTTCGGTTTCGCAGGCCAGCCCCGCTATTGATCTCTTTATTAATAACCCGAGGAGAATACACGTTCTCAAAAGACTGCATCGCGTTAGGCTTCGAAGTGTCTCCCCGTTTTCAGGAAATATGCAACGGATCAAGCGTAGATATTTCTCGTCCCAGAACTCAACTGCCGTACGTCAGTCCGAGGGCCCACGGGATCAGCACAGTGGTCGTCGATGACGTATTGCAGTATTGCAGAAACGGGATCCCAGACACCATGCATGTGCGTTCTGCTTTCATTGCTCCACTACGGTCTCGTTGACTCGTACATCGTACCTCAACCCAGCCAATTTACGATCCAGTCTGTTTCAACAATCTCTCACACAGAACACTAGTAAAGCTCTGTTTTTCTTACTCCTCTGAGAAGAGGAAAGTTTGCCCTGATCTCGTTGCCCCAGAGAGAGCGGAAACAAGAGAAAGAGAAACAGTGATCTTTGTCCGTACCAAGTGGTCCGGGGAGCCGTGACATCAACTTTTACCATATTTCTCCGCATTGAACTCCATACAAAAGTTAATCATCTCCAGTCCCTTAAGGCATACATGAGATAGAATATTATTTTTTTATTATTAAGAAACTTTGTAATTTCTATAATATCATGAGTATCTCTCATGCAGTACTCATTGAAATGATAGAAATGCAAATCTGGAGACTGCCAAAAGACAACCAAAACGGATGCCAACACGAGTTTTTTCATGTTGAGTCCTGACTTCAGTTGAGCTCAGATGCGAAGAGAAGTTGCCAATTTTTCACATGAGTGATGATCTAAGCTGAATATGAAGAGAAATGTGCATATCAAATATCTTTTTCCAATGTATAGTACTTTCAAAAGATGTCACCCGACACTGTAACAAAACAGCCTTCCTTAATTTCCGAGCATCGCAATCAAAGGGTGACTTACATTTATTAATGTTATCGTTTCACTTACATAATAAATATGTAATAGGGAATTGATGGGCTTCAGTACGTCACAAAAGGAAGCGACTCGTTTTTGGGGTCTCGAGAAATGTCACATCCAACATTTTTCTTCACACACGGATGCAGCTAAAGAAACCATTATGGACTTTGGATGATGTCATCTTCAGTCGCTGCCTTGGGCTCAAAGTTGGGGGTCTGAATTGATTGATAATTGACAAATACCAATATTGCTTCGGATTCCATACGAATGAAATATTGGGTTATTGGGGGCTGGGGTGTAGGGGGTGGTAGGGGATGGTAGAGGAGATAGAGGGGGGGACATGGGCACGTTGGAAGGAGCAGCTGCTCCTATTCCCTCATATTACAGTACTCTTGGGGATGAGGAGTATTGCCGACAAATTACTTCTCGGGACTTGTCTTTGATTGCCAAGAAAGAGAGCTGTATGACCTTATCTCGATTATCCGATCTATCACGCAAGATAGTATGTAAGGAACAGTCCGTATCAAGTGCGACCGACTTCACAATAGCGTTCATACTTTCATAGTTACCAGATAAGTGTAATATTGCCACTCGAGTAATATGGACGTTCTAATTTTTACTCATTTTTTGTACTTCATATGCTAACAAAGCCTGATAAACACTACGTCGGGCGTATATGAGACGTAGAGAAAAAGCAAGGACTGTTTCTCATGGTTCCATGAAAATTATGCTGGGGCAGCTGAGCAGGTTGCCCAATCTACTGGGAATGTGAATTGTCTTGGAAAATATTGCTTCTTTAACGTGTGGAGCCCAAATGTGTAGCATCCGGTTGGATTATTTCAGTGGTTCTCAATCTGTGGTCCGCGGACCACCGAACATATTGATCATCTATGGGAGTATAAGGGAGTTTGAGAACCGCTGGATTATTTGATTAAGTGGTCAGAAACTTACATGGACTGCAAATTAATTTATTTTTACTGTTTTCCCATATTTACCGCATAGGTATATAGGTAAATAGGTTAAGGTAGAACAGGTGAGTAATATGAGCATTTGCTAAGTTTAAGAGTTTCTTCTTTTTCTTTCTTGGTTGTCGTTGGAACTAGACCTTTTTTTTTTTACCATACATACTTGTTCGAGCCTGCTGCAATGGTGGAATAATGTTTCTCTACTCATGAAACTTTTCCCATCCCAGTTGTAAACACAGTGAACATTTCCATATTTCCCCGAGTTAACCTATTATTTTTAACGTAACATTCGACTGCATGGACAGGCCTGTGGTCGAATTGCTGCTGAAATAGACAAACCGAACTAATATCATACTGCTACTGCCTGAGATGTTGATGTCTCAAATAATTTTTAAATTGTATGAATGGGATGAGTGAGTGGCTTGCTAAATGTCTTGTTGACCCTGGGACGTTTGGATGTCAGTGACGGCTTTCTCTTATTTCAAATCTCATTAAAACTCAGCATTAGCTGATTTGAAGCTGAGCATCAATTGGCGAATTGCATTCAAGGATAATGGAGAGCTTCAGCTTCAAAAGTACGACTCAATTAGAATAATTCCCAATTAATCTAATGGCCGTTTTGACGTTCCAACCAGTCCCGTGCGACGATACGGGGGTACTGGCTATCATCATTGGCTTCGGAAAGCTGCAATATTCCGGTGAAAACTGTCATACTGTATTTGCATTTCTTATGCGCCTTTCTACGATGAGTCCAGTGATGAAAATCTATTCTCATAATTTCGAGGAGGAAGCATTCGGGAGATGCTCTTGCGAACTTTTTTTTAGACGCCTACATTGATTTGACACAAGGGGAAAGGTTTTATTTAATTACGAACCAGCAAAAAGTTTGTATGAACAGATATATGAATTTCCGCGCGGAAAGCTTGAACGAGGGGAGATATTCGAGAAACGTCAAATCGTAACCGTTTGTCTTCCAGGGAATCGCTTTCTTGCTTTTCTATCCTTTCCAGGAGGTGTCGCTAAAGAAAATGCACAAAAGTGCACAAGAAAGTGCACAAAATGCGACCCGCGTGTCGCATGCAGCACTAAATGCATTAGTGAACATCCACTTTGTGCGAAGATTTTCTCCCCATACGACCACAACAAAAGGAAAATGGTGATAGATGCTTTTCTTCCCACTTCATGCCCAAAAAGCGGCTGATTTTGGGTTACAGGGTCTAAGCTCTCCAAAATTTACATTTTCCGACGCCTGCAGTATACCGAGAGGGAGAGAGGGAGAATATCCAATTTCGTCTCGTGGATGCAAAGAAATGAGAGATGAAGGCTGGAAGCATTCCATCTCTCGTGATATGGTCGGAAACCTGCTCTAAGACAGCCCTTTATTGATTACGCCCACCACCCACGAAGCCTTCACGACAAAAAAATTCCAGAATGCTCTCGGACCTCTCTTCGTCACCGGAGATTCCTGATATAGCACTTACGACGTACGAGATGCGAAACGAAACCAGGTAATTCTCGGTGACAGACGAGTTGCGAATGCGATTGCGAATCTGCAGTGGCATAAAGAGGGAAGGCTATCGGCACCGTGCGATGCTGCAATCTGGCGTGGCAGACATATTACGTCGAGGGAAAATGCAGTAACACCCGTCATAACGAAGGGGAGGGAACCGTCATATTACTTCGTCGTTTGTTCCAAGAGGAATTTTCAGATATTTGGGCGTTCGGGTGGGGATGCAAAATCGTTTCGTTCTTAGGAAAATTCCCTTATGTTTGAATTCGTTATGTCGCAGATTTTACAATCTTTGCCAAGAAGGGGTCTATTCTAATAAAGTAGCTCGAGCGAGAGATGCACGCAGTCATGAGGGTTTTTTTCCCTTGCCGAAAAAGTCCAAGCTGGGAAATTCACTGCAGAATGCAGGAAGCGTATGAAAACGATCACATCCCGCATTGGAGAGTGTACGAGGAGTGCACAGGTGAATTCAAACGGGAATGCCGTAAGAGAATTTAATAAATTAGGCTGGTTTCTCGCGCGTCGAGACGCCACACCCAAGATTTGCGATAGCATTTGTCCCGCCCACTCCAGAGACTCTCGGGTTTTTCTACTGCCCTCGTAGGTAATTGCTGAAGGAGGGATCGAGGATGATGAGTGAGAAAAGGCTAAGTGCTTGCCAGGCCGAGACCAAGTGGGAGGATGCGACAATCTCTCGTCTGTGCATTTATTGTTTTTCAACTTTATTTCTGTCCTGGGATTTCTCTTTACGCCTAGAGAAGAGGTTTCTGGCAGGGACTGCATCCCTCTCGTCTTTCCTCTCCCTTTGGCTCATTGTTTTTGTCCTCGTGCATGATGAACGCACCCCGGGCAGTGTGCTATGCAAATTCCGTCCCGCAATCCACGAAAATCGCATCTGAATGCAAACAGTTATCCCGGGTGTAATGAAGTGGAAGGTAATCCGCTCTTACGACGCAAGAGGACACGAGAGATAGAAATGCGACTTTAAAAAAATATGTCATGGCGACGTGGATTGAGAATGACTCGAGTGGAAGTTAATAGAAGTTAATCCGTTTGTCGTGTCACATCTCGTCGAGCGGCAGGGGGATCCTAGTGCTCGTTGTTTGCTCTTGCGTCTCAAATTATTCATATACGTACAGCACTCGAGCCCGAGGTCCTGGCAGGTTTGAATCGATTCTCCAAAACAGGAGAAAGCTTACAAATATGGTAGTAAATGAGTAGATTCTTACATTTTAGGATTACAACCCTGAAAGTTAGGATAGAAGAATTGCGAAAATTAGGTTCCACAGCCTTTTCATTTGGAGAGTCTCGTCTCGATGAGAACGATTTTATCTGAAACAATTGCTTATGCTGGATGCTTATGGATTCTGAAAAGCCTGAATACAAGGAGCGATTTGTTAACGACAGATTCGAAGAAAAAATGTTCATAGTTGAACTACTACTACTAAAGATTGACATATCTTTTTAAAAACTCATTTCGTGATCGTCTGAGCACAACTTTATTTTTCTCTCACCTGTTACGATATATGGAGCGAGGTCGTGATGGAAGGGAAATATTTTATCCAGGTGTTCAGTTCGCTTTAGGATTGCACAAACGTGCACACACCAACATTCATGGTCATGTGGATGACGACTGGATAGCGTTTGTCCTCTCGCCAATTTCTCCTCCTCATGTCTCGCGCTGAACATGCGCTCACGTTCTCTCTCCCTCTCTCTCTGTCTCTCCCTCCCTCCCTCTCGCTCCTCTGCAGGCCCCAAACTGCTACAGAGCACCTACGCCTTTCCCTCTCCTTTTGCTCATGTTCTCCCATCGACGTAAATGCGTTAAAGGATGGGCTAAGATTTCGGCCTCTCTCGAGATGAAGATACGCTAAAGCATGGCCTATCTTCATCAGGTCTCGTCATCAAAAGGCGCGATAGCACCTATTACCTTTCTGCAACCCCTTCCTGCAGCAAAATTCAACCTCTTCGTATTCCTCTCTGAGTGTACCAACATGAACGAAATTTGGCATGTTTTTTCCTCTCCCAACACAGAATCGCTCCAGCAAATTTGAAGCTCCATCTCCCTGGGGTTGTGGAGAACACTGAATCTCGCTTTTTGAAGATGCCGCTTTCATTCCGTTTTTTTTTTCTCCCCTGTCC